TGTAGGGGTGCTTAATACCTTCCCTACACGTAACCGACCCCCGAACCCAATTCTGGTTATCAAGGTCATTGTTGGATCTTTAAAAACCTTTTCTTTTTCCAATGTTTTGAGTAAAATATTGGTGGCGACTCCATGAACCTATTTTCAAAACCATTAATTAAGGATTAGTCTGGTGTCCAGGAATTCCTTAATTGATGAGATTTTCAAAAGGATGGCTAAACCATTAGTCGCGAGATCGGGAATTTTCGTGTTGCGACAAGGATGAATTAGGAGCTCGAAATGAGCCTTTCCCAATCTGGAATAAGTCATTCCAAGCTTCTAAAATGGCCTTGAAACCTTAGGTCAAAACTGGACGGGCCGTTTTAACTCAAGTTATTATGAGTTAACTTCAAATCTGGAACGGTTCATTCCGATTTTGGAACGGACCATTCCAAATTCAAAAATTGCTCATAACAAACTAATCCAGAATGACCTGTTTCGGTGATCAGAATGGTTGTTCCAGTTAAGTCTAACGTCTATAAATACGAGACTCGTGTACAGTGCTCAGAGGAAAAATTTGCCTACTAGAGTCCTATATAGCTCAAAAATCTTCTCTTTCTCCCCCTCTTTGTATTTCTTGAGATTTTTGAGATAAATTATAATTTGTAATACAACCAAAAAGCGTCTCAAGTCCACCATATTGAAAGCATATTTTATATAAGCTCGTTCAAGAGGTATTCTTATCAAAATTCTTCTTTATCATCTACTATTTATGTCATAAATATTACCATAAATAAACGCGACCATGTAGATGTTTAAGTTCAATCGTGTAATTTTAAAATTAAACATGTAAATAACTATTAATAAGGGGACTGAATATTTGAACTTTATTCTCTATCGCACTAATTTTGTCATAAGGTATCGAGCTAGGATGTTGTAAGGTGCCTAATACCTTTCGTACGCATAATCGACCCTGAACCCAAGGCTGGCTATGAAGGCCATTTTGGTCATTTTTATAAAAAATCTTTCCTTTTTTCGATGTTTTGAGTAAAACATCGATGACGACTCCTTCGAACACTTTTCAAAACCATTGATTAAGGATTAGTCTAGTTTCCAGACATTCCTTAACCGATAAGATTTTCAAAAATGGAAGTTCAAACCATATATGGGTTAGATTGGAATTTTTCGGGTTCCGACACTAGTAAGCCAAAAAGATCACCCTATGTTATTGGTTCTGTATGGTCAAGTCACTTAAACTGCTCATCTTGTGTTATAAGGAGATCTCCCTAGTTGAAGTATGTGACAACGTACCTAATTATTGTGTTGAATATGTTGTTTTGTATAGTCTACGTTGTATTTGTATTATTGTGATGAAAAAACTAAGTTGTTGATATAGTAACGTTCAAGTTGATAATGTGTTGTAATATACTAAGTTGTTAATGTTGATATATGTTGGTTGTGTTGTGATGTTTTATGTTGAAGGTGCATGAAAGATATGTTGGTATATTAATGTTTCAGCTGATGTTTTGTGTTGTTTACATGTTATCATTTTAAACTATAGCTTACTCTTGCGTATTTTCATATAATTTGGACTGCGATGATCATATGTGATATAAAAATAGAGTAAGAATAGATATGAGATATTACAACTAAGGTGGTTATTAGGAGGATGACAAGATTGTTTATATTTTTTTATGCTAGCATAATGTAGTACTTTGTATAGGAATTACTTAAGTGACAACTTAAGTTATATAGTTTACTTTTACTGAATCATTGTATTTATATCACATATGGTTGTTTCACTTTCACATGAATGATATATAGTAGTACATGTCAATTATCAGTAAATTTATAATTCCAAGTTATTAGTAATCTTTCAATTGCTAGTTGGTTGTTGTTAAGTGTAAAAACTATCTCGGATCACTATTCACGATTTAAAAAATTACAATTATGCTAAGCATTCACATGTGCTCACGCCAAATGTGGGGTTGTCACTCTAGGAGTGAATATTTAGGCTTAAAGCTCTTCCTTATGCACTAGTGAGAAACACTCCAGAAATGGTGTCTTGTTGAGTGAATCTGTGAAGCACTAAACATTAAGGACTCTAGATAGCAGATCTGGAGCTCTCAACAATCACACTTAGAGCAGGTTACCATGCATCATTAAATGTGGCAAATTTCAAAGAACATATTTGAAGTCTTTGGATGATGGTGCTAAATATCATATAGGTGCACTAAGCATCAAGGTCCCACACATCAAGTGCGAGACCCTTATAATTTCGTTTCATTCATACAATGTTTCAAAGGTATTTAATATTTTTTTTTTTGGAATATATTATGCTTATGCATGAATGTTAAGGGATCACCTTTGGAGGAAAGAGAATAATAATCTTTGAAATACCAAAGGATGTCACCAAAATAGTATAAGGTGAGTTAAGTGATTTCATCCTTCATTTTACATAACATCAACCTATCATAATTGAGTACCTCTAACTACATGCACCCTAGTCAGGAGCAATGTAGTGCCTCCGACCACAGTGCACCTTAGTCGGAGGTGATTTTCAATAAAAAAAAACCTTTTTTCCCTTTATATCTTTCTTTTCCCCTATTCTTCTTCCATGGGTATAAATGTGTAGGGATATCCAATTACAAATCTGTCGCAATAAGGCATGCAAGTTCAGATTTGCCACAACACAAAGGTAAACCAAGACAAAATAATGCGATACTTTCAACAAGATGTGAAGTCCTAGGCAAAGTACAGCGTGGCAACTATAGCGTAAAACTTCCAACAAAATGAAGCAACTGGAGTAAAAAATGATGTAACAACAATAGATGTGATTACATGTTTAACTATAAAACTTAGATAAATCTAATGATAAATAAAAACGGTACACCATAGACCACATCTTAAACTATGGCTCCTTAGCCGGTCTATTTTATTATTTCACTATTTATTTAAGGTTATTTAACCTATTATTTAATCAATGATAGACCACACCCTAAGCTAGTATTCCAAAACCTTTGTACTATGATAATATATTTATTTAGTGAATCAACTTGCAAATAATCTATTTTTTATTTAAAAAATATTTTAAATCCTAATTTAATGTCAAACCAAACTACAATCCACCACTCAGTTGAGTTAACCCATTTGGCATCCTACCTACAAATAGGTGAGAAAGAAAAATTGGAACAATTCACATGCCTTACAAATTAGTTTAGGTTACGTGTAATTGGGTTGGGCAGGTGCAAAGCACAGAAATGCTTTGTGACAGAAATGAGATCATTTTGAGTTTAAGCATCAAATTTACAATAAATTGTTTTTATTTAATTAAATTTTTATAATTGATTGTGACGGTTCTAAGGCAAGGTAAGCAGACTTCCAAGAAAAATAATATCAAGGTACTCTAAAATTAGAAGCTTTAAATTTCCTTTTTTTCGTAAAATTGACCAAAAACATCATAAACTTTATCATGTAGAATCAAACCCTCTTGAAAGAAAAAAGGATCAAAATACCCCAAAAGATGCAATTGCCCAGCACCTTCCACTGCAGAGACAAAATAGCCCTACTCTAGCCCTACCCGACCAACCTATAACTTTTAACCAAAAGGAAAAGAAAAAAAATCCCCTGTTAAGCAGGCGGGATTGAGGCACCTGTAACTTATTGCAATATTTGCAAAATGCAGGGTTCCGATCAAAACCCACCCACTACTTTCACTCCCAAGTGATCAGCCTTCTTTAAAAACAAAAGGGAAGAATGTTACTAGCCATCTGCCATAAAAAATGAAACTTGGATCTATCCATGTGATAGAACCGAACGTCAAGCTTCAGATCTGGAGTCAGAAGAACTCAATTCAGCAGAAGCTCCATGCAAGTTAGTGGCATAAGATTCAAAAAACTTGGACAACTTTGGCTGCATGCCCTGGCATAGCTTTAATGTGGTGGTGCCCAATTTCATGCACTACAAAACCCACGTCGACAAAGAATAAGCAAATCTCTTGGCCAAAATGAATTGATAATCCAATAAAATTTACCAGTTGAGTCACAACAAGTTGCTTCAAAATGCCTAACTCAAGTATGCAATTTGTTATAAACATATTACAAAGAAATTAAGACTGATTGACAGAGTAGATAATTTTTAACCCAATTCATTCAATGAAGCAAGCCTTTTGACTTGAATATGTCTAAACCACAATATCAATCATAAGAAAAACCAGGAAAATACCGATTAATAACATCTTTTTAGCAGAAAAAAGAAATCAGGGTGATAGCTGCTTACCTCCTGATAGAAGGCATTGATTTCCTCTTCCGTAAGGCCCTCATCCTCACCAGAATTCTCCTCCCAGCCAAGAGAACGAAGGAATGCAGCCTCTTCCTCATCAGGAATTGTATCTTTCTCTTCATTCTCAGGCCTGTTAATCTCTACATGAGCATTACCATTACTAGTCACTTCAGCACCATTTCCAAGACCACGAGAACTTGCAGGAGAGCCAACGGCTTCTGTACTAACTTCACCAGATTTATCCATTGTGGGAGATGAAACCACTGGGCTTGAATCCGGAACTGATGAGGAATTCATCAGAGTTTTCTTCTTAATGAGATTGAAGAAATCATTCCGGCTCTGAACTTGAGAAATAGTGTGTTTCTTATCCATAGTGGAACCTAACTTCAAATCCAATGAAGCAGGCTTCCGCTCTGTGGGAGATTTCAGGTTGTTGGGATTCCTCAAAGGTGTAGAAGTAGCTGCTGAAGCAACAGCAAGATGATTTCCAGGCCTATTGTTAGAGTAATTTGTTTGACATGAAGGATCCTTGGGTGTAGGAGAAACACCATTTTCCCACACCACAGATTTAAGGTCAGTAAATTTCCCAGATGTCTTTGGAGCATCACCCTTGGCATTTCCAAGGCGAACAGAATGATTAACAATGTGCAACGCAGAGGCTTGTTGTGGCATGCTCTTGCCAGCCATATTAATCTCGGTATTTCTGACTGCTGTCTTGGGTTTTGATTTCTCAGAAGAATTATTAACCTGACAAGTAAGCTATCAGAATATTGCATAGAATTTAATGAAAAAAATATCATTCATCAAATAGGAAACAAAAACATACATGATGCTAGAATAGAGCAATTTCCAGAAATTCTATGTATGAATAAAAAATTAAAAATATATTAGAAGAAATTCTTTACATGATATAAATCAAGCATTTTCCACTGATTTTTATACATGATTGATGCAAACACAGACCAGTATAACATGAAGTCAATAAAAAAGTGTTGAATGATTACAATGAAACCTATTCATTTCACAAACAAATAAACTGTCATTCACAGATAATTTAATAGAAAAGACAGACCAACAAACCATCAGTGCCACCAGTGCTGCAGGAACCACAGTTAGCATGCCAGATAAAAACAAGGTTAAGTAATCACATAATGTTAATGTAGTAATTTAGTAAAACAGATGAAACAATATAGTATTTGTAAAATTAACTGCCAGTTCATAAACATATTGAGGCACAATATGACTGCAAGTATTTGTACAAGAAACCATCAGATGATACAACTGATCAGCTTCATGATTCAAATTCAGGTTACCAAACCAATATTAAAAAGAAAAGGTGTAAAAACAAAATAATAAATAATAAAAAATCTAAAAATCCTTCACTTGATAAATAAATATTTTTTAAAGCTACCAATTAATAAACTTAATCCATGCTTAAGAATTGAAATTACTGTCAGACTGCTTCAAATTCTAGTTCTAGGATTGAAACATAAGTCCCATGCGGCATTTTGAAGAGGAACAATAAGCAAAAAAAAAAAAAAAGAGGGGTGTCAGAAAATACAGGTGGTCCTTATAGAGAGGGAGGTCAGCTAAGTGAAGGTAATAACTAATTAACAACTTGTAGCTTCCATATACATCACTCTAGTCATAAATTGGTGCATTGGGTATGATGTAATCAAAGTAAAAAAGACAAACTTCTAAATCATACCATATCAGCAGGTTATTTGCATTTCCCACAGCACATATTCAGGTAAAAAATAAACACAAATAACATTCATTAAGATTGATATTTGTAAGTGATTTATTTGTTCTATACGTGCACCTAATCAATTCCTCAACACAAAATCATAGAGTTAAACACATTAGTAAGACAACACATTTCTTATTCTTTATATTTATCTAAAACAACATAAAAAGAAGATATCTGAACACAGAATAAACCATAATTGTCATTAAAAAAAACTAAACCATTACAGAAAATCAATTTGCAAAAAATACAGATCAACAACAATAGATCAATTAATTTGTAATGATGCACCAATTCATGGCCAATACAACAAAATTAAGTAAGAACTATTTTGGTGATATTTCTCTCTTTCTAATTCCAATGCCTTCTCTAGAATCCCACTCTCGCTAAAAAATTCCAGGTTGCAAACAGATTCAAAACTTGTGGTACCTATTCAAAATTCTCAACTTCAACGAAGTTCACAACTAAATAATACCAATTCAACATAAGAAATCAAATTCCTAATGATATCCAGAACAGATCAAATTTTGCGATATGACTAATAAAACAATAGTATACAAGGCAATTTACATACCAAAGCCTTAGGCATTGAAGGTGTTACTGGAATCAACTGCCTTGACTGCTTAATAGCCAGCTCCTCAAGCCTTTGGGTTTTGACAGACACCTGGCAAATTATTAGGACCATTTTAACTGGTTATGAAAATAAATAAAATCATTATTATTATAATTACAGCAATAGAAAACCAAATTCAACTACCTGGGGAGTAGAACGAGCTCGAGATGGATTCTGTGCCAAAGCTTCAGCCATGTTAAGACCAGATGATGGTGTAGTTGTAAGAACAGACCCAGATGTTGGAGCAACAGTTTGTTGCAATGTTAGAGATCCAGTACTACTGCTTCCAATTATAGTTGGTACCTCAGCTAGTGCAGATGTCCATCCTTCCCCACCAATCAAAGCTGAACTCCCAACAGGTAACGTTTGACTAGCAGTAGCACCCAAGCCCGGAGATGAAACTCTACCTATTTCAGTCATTCCCTGCCTCTCTTCAGTTCCAAGTGACGGAAAATCCTTATTAAAAACAGCTTTCTGAATGCTACTACCAATATTAGTGCCAGAAAGTAAGTCATTGCTACTGTTCTGGTTGCCATTGCCACCAGATTTTGTATCTACTGCAACTCTGTGGTTCAAAAGCTCATTATGTTTCCTGGAAACCATTGAATGAGAACGCCGTAGAGTATCTCTCTCTATCCTTCCAGGGAACAGGTCAGATAATGGTTCAGAACAATCACGATCCCAGTGGTCCACAAAATTTGATCTATCTTTCTCTCTGTCACGGTCCTTATCACGATGACTTCTGTTGAAACTACTATAGGCATGCTTGGCAGAACCATTGATACTCCTCCGAGAATTGGAAGAAAAAGTCCGTTCAAGAAACACAGAACGAGGGCTATCAAAATCACTAGTAGTCTTGGAAGATCTATTCCTTGTGTGATGAGAAACACAAGCGTCTACACAACAATGATAGGAATTGTTAGCTTCTGATTATATTCCCAATTTTAAGGAGACAATCCTATCATAAACTTATATATAAATCAAAAGAAAAATATACATGTTTCTTAGATATATTAATGCACCCAAAAAAACAGGAACAACATTTCCTGGCAAAAAAAAATGCATCATATTTTGAATTGATTAAGCTAAGGCATTAAAAAGATGTATACAGTTCAAGATATTGAAAATACCCGTGTGATTAGAAGGAGCTGCAAAATGGTGGGCTGAACTGCCGCCCCCAGCAACACTGCCAGCACTTCTCAACCATTCTGGAACTAATGCAGGTTCACTTTTGTCCATAACGAACACTGAACATCATCAGATTTAACTAAAAAAAGCACATGCAACTTCTTCACCAGCCCTTCCCCTATAACAATACCGTTGCACTTGAATTCAAAACTACTGACTCTAACTCACATTTGTCATCCTTCTCTCCATCTTCAAGATACCAAAACTAATCAATAATATCCTGACTAAATAGAAAACTGTTCCAAATGAATATTGGAGCAATTCCACCAAGATATTAGAATAATCCAAAAACCAGTATCTTCCAGCAGTCAAGTAACAGCAGTTATCCTCACAGAAACAACAACCCCCGATCTTATTTTTTTGCCCTTTATCTATTGAAAAAAGTTAATAACTCCGACGCTCGAAAGCGGTTACTCTGCAAAATTAATCACAGATTTCAAGTGCGTAATAGCTCCAACAATGCTTAACTGAAATGGGACCCTTCAATAGCCACAAACAGACACTGTACCCTCTATTCCCCAATCAAGCAACGCGCCAAAAAACGGGAGACCGAAACGAGAAGCCCGTGACTTGAAACACAAGACAATGCCGCGAGGGAAAAGCTTCTCTACGCCACCATCTTAAACAGAAAAAAAAAATGGATTCACCTAAGACCTTGAAAATTCAAAGAGACACCATCTCTACGGGGCGAAAATCTTGAAAAGAAATCGATCCCCGCACCCAAACCACGACTACGGAGACAATGGTAGAACTCTAGAATTCAATCATCAATCAGTCCAGCACCAGGAATCGGAAGAAAGCCGAAAATTAAAAATAAAATAAAATAAAATAAAAAAAGAGCCCTATAGGGCAGTGTGGAGCCCCGAAAAAATGCGTCGGGGAAAGGAAACCCTAGATGAGACGCACGTGCGGGAAAAGCCGTGCAAAAGCTAGGGTTACAGAGGGGAAAATTCGGGGAATTAGAGAACGAGAGAGGGAAAGGGGAGAAACTAACCCTAGGACAGTGATTGACGATGATGCGGAAACCGCAAACGGTTGAATAAGCGCTGGTATTGAGAATTGAAGAATGCGGTGGGGAAGAAGAAGAGTTTGGGCGCAAATAGCGAAGTGTGATTTTGGAGAGGGCGAATGGCGCTGATTGAGATGGAAGAAGAGACAGAGAGTGTGTGGAAATAGAAAATAGGGTTTTGTTTGGGTGAAGAGAGTGCGATGTGGTGTGAGAGAAGGCGAGAGAAGGTATAATTTCAGTTAGTTTGGGATACTCAGGATGAAACGTATGAACAACAGCCTCTTCTCCTAAATGCAATTGCAAATCAAATTAGGATATTAACATTAATGCCAAAATAAATGAGCATTATTTTTTATTTATTATTTCTCTCTCAGTTTCTTTTTTTGACGGTTCCTTCTCCCAAATAAATTTCCATCCCTGTCCCTCAACTCTGATCTTCTTTGAACCTTCTCTTTTTTCTTTTTATTATTATTTTTTTTTATTATTATTATTTGTGCTGTTCTTTTTCTGAATCCCTAAAATGTGATGAATGGTTATGATTTTTGTTGACCAGAGACAAAGGTGTGGGTGAGGCATCCACAGCAACAACATCTCTCATTATTCTCTCCCATTAGATTTGAATGTTTGTAAAATGGGCTTTTCAGTTTTCACCTAACAGAGACACTGCTCTATCCTTATTTCCTCATATATATCATTTTCTAAATGATACTGAATGATACAGTATCACGAGAATATTATGTGTGCAACATAAAACGATTTTTAAAAAAAAATCTTTTTATCCATAACTATTTTGAACAAATATTTTTAATTTAATAATTAATTTTTATATATTTAAATAGGAACTAGTAAAATTTCTAAAAAAGAAACTTTCTTTAATAAAAGAATATTTAGAGATTTTTAGATTTAATTTTTATTTTAGAATTATTTATTTTTATCATAAATTTAAAATATAATTCATAAATTTAAACCTTAAACCCTATTGATGAAATAATACTACTGTAATTAATAAAAGAAATTGACTCATTTGGTATACATATTTTTGGACAATTTTATTCTTATAATTACTTTTTATAAATTAAAAAAAATTTATTTTTTATTTTTATAAATTTCACTTTATAGTCACTAATATTTTTAATAATTACACACAATTATATAAATTTTTTTATTTTTTTTTAAATAATTCAATAAATACAAAGTATCTTTATTATTATTAAATATATATTTCTAATATATATGCATGTATACTAAATTAAAATAATTTGAAAAGTAAAATTATTAATTTTTTCGATCTCTCAATTAAATATTTTAAATGTGTAGAAGATTTTCACCTTTTTTTTTTGAATAATTTCATTCTTATAACTATCATTTATAAATTACAAAATTTGTATTTTTTTTAAATTTCACTTTATAAATGTCAATATTTTTAATAATTACTCACTGTTATATAATTTTATTATTATTTTTTAAATAATTCACAAAAATATGAAATATCTTTTGTATGCTAGTATTATTAATAAATATGTTTCTAATATATATTCATGTGTACTATATTAAAATAATTTGGAACGTAAAACTATTAATTTTTTCATCTCTCAATTAAATAATTTTAAATGTGTAGAAGATTTTAGATTAAATGTTATTGTTGTTATTGTAATTTTTTATTAATAAAAAATATATTTAAAATATTTTCTTCACTATTATTTGAAGATTGTTTTCATGTACTGTATCGGTATTACTCTCGTCAACACAAAAATTCCTTCTAATCATTTCAATCTATCTTATCTTTATTTATATATATTTTATATTTTTAACTATCTATTTATTTCAAACTATTTATTTTTATTTCTGTCTCTAAATTAAATCCTAATCTATAATTTAAAAAAATTTATACTATCTATTTAATATATTGTTTCAAATTTCTTTGTATCTTCTTCGATTTCTTCACCTTTCCCTGATTTAAATCGATTTATCCTTCCTATCTCTAATTTCATGGAAATATTCTTTGATTTTTGGAGGATAAATTAATTTTGTCTCTTTTAACTTGCATACTTATTTAATCTTTTTATCTCTTAAGTCTTACCTACTTTAAATTCAATTATCTCTTACCTAGTTTAGTCTTAATATATATTCCATAATGTTGATCATATTGATCATGGCTTTAGACATATTAAACATTTAAATATATTTAATTTAATTTAATTTTGTGGTAAACCAAAAAAAAAAGGTCATTTGATGTATTCACTTTAGTTATATGATATGACTAATATTTTAATTTTTATGATAAATAATTATAATAATAGAATTTACATATAGGTTTGATTTAAATAATATACAAATGAAAATACTAGCTATCAAAAATCGAAAATAAATTTATATCACAATTTAAATTAATCATTAAAAATTTTAATTATATATATATATATATATATATTATAATATAATAAATAAAATATTATTATAATTTTTTATACAAAGAATATTCTCATTGAAAATTATTTCGGCCAAAGGGTGGACTAGGGTTTCTGCCTAGGTCAAACCTCAAAGTCAGAGCATTCAAAAGTGTAATTTGTCTTCCTAGCCTTAGGGTTTTAGGTTTTATATCTCCTTGTTCGTGGACTTCATGGGCCCCATGAATGGGGGGATTTTCTTAACCGTCGTCCTTTTGAAGATATTTGACGAACGTGAGAATTGTAGATAAGATCACCAAACAAGATTCTCCATGCCGAGGGGGTAGTCGGGTTATGGCCGAGGGGGTAGTCAGGTTATGGCCGAGGGGTCCTATGGGCTTGAGGTGTCGGGATGGGATCGAGCTGAGTCACGTCGAACCAACACTCGGGCGTTAACCGAGTGACCCATCAAGAGGGGGCCCACCGAGATCCAAGTCGGCTTATCACCAGGGAGAGTGTAGGATCATGACCCGACCGGGGTTGCACTCCGTTAATGGAACTCAGTCAGAGATTAGCCGAGACGGTACACTTGCCATCCAGACTTGAGCCTATGAGGCGAAAAGGCTAAAGCAACACCCCTTCTTTGAAACGCCCAAGCAGTAAGCCGAGAGAGGGCGTCGGAGATTAGCTGAGACGGTACACTTGCCTTCCAGCCTTGAGCCTATGAGGCGAAAAGGCTAAAGCAACACCCCTTCTTTGAATCGCCCAGGCAGTAAGCCGAGAGAGGGCGTCAGAGATTGGCTGAGTCGGTTCGTAAGCATCATGACTTCCTGGAAGTTGATGGGACGTGCCTCTTCCCCTTACTCAGGAAGGGACGTGTATTTATTACAAAGACGGCGCTACAGGGATGCGTGTAATGATGATGCCACGTGGCGGCTTCTGTTGCTAGGGTTATTAATATGGGGCCCTCTTTGGCTGGGGTTCACAACGTCCCACGCGTGCTGTGACTTTTGGGCGCACCCCCTCACGCGCGGCCTTGCACCTCCATAAATAGAGGGGGCTACCCATTTTTTCAACTCATTTGCATCTTCTTCTGCGCGCGTTTTTCCTCTCCGGTGGTGGCTCTGCTTCTCCGTTCTGAGTTACGGTGGTCCACGGTGGTTTTTACCTATTTTTAGTGGGTGAAGTTGTGTGAGAACCCCTTAGGTACGCGTATTTATCCCATTCTTCTTAGTGATTTTTCTTGCAAACCTTTGAGCTTTTAGGTTAATCTAAGATTATATTCGCAATGGCTGTCGTGGGGTATGGGGGGTTGTACAAATGGGTTAAGGATGATGCATTAAAATGTGAATCTTTGATAAATTCCTGGGAAGCCATAGATAGCTTTTGTAGAGATTATGTAGTTTGCCGTAACGGGGATGAAGTGGTTGTGTGTGAACCTTGCGTTGATAGGGAGCCAGTGTGTCTTAGTTCATCCTCGATTGAAAAGTTCACTTTTTGTTATACCACTCTTATTTCTAAGATTAGGGTGAGATGGCCCCTTACCGAGTGTGAAAAGGGGGTACTTCGATCCTTAGGTGTTGCCCCGACCCAACTGCACCCAAATAGTTGGGCTTTTGTGCGAGGTTTTGAGATTTTGTGTACTGGGCTCGGCATAACCCCGACAGTGGATAAGTTCTTCTATTTCTTTGAGAGTAGGGCTAGCAAGCGTAGTAGCTGGGTGTCTGTTAGTGGGGTTTCAGGTCGGGGTTTATTGTCATTGTTCCAATCGTCCTATAAGGACTTCAAAAGATCATTTTCCCGAATTCGTAGTCTACCTGGTCACGAAAATGTGTTAGAGGGGTTTCCTTTGTACTGGAACCAGAATACAATAGCATTTGGTGGGCTAGATTCCGAGAGGCTCTCCGAGAGTGATCGGGTTGACGTTAAGAAAATCGAAGATTTGAAAACCCTATTCAATACTGGGAAACTCCTAGACCTAGAGAATAGGCTGCAAGAACTGAGAATATACATAGGTATATTACCGTTTGAACACCAAGGACTTCCTTTTCTTGTTGATGTCTTCTTCCTATGCTAACTTGTTGATGTATTTTTTTTTTTACAGAGAGAATGGCTAGTATGAGCAACCGAGAAATGATGAGGCTATGGAAACAACAAAAGATTTCCGAAGCAGCCGTAGTGGGTGAGTCGGCTACCGAGAAGGTCGCGAAAACCGGGAGTCCAGTGGTGAGGTCGAAATCCATTGGCGAGACCCCGCAGAAGCGTCCTCGCGAGACCGATAAGTCCATATCGGTGGTTACCTTGGAGACGGTCGTGGCCACTGAGATGGACAAAGGCGACACAGAGGTTCAATTTACCGAGAGGACCCTGAGTGTGTGTCTCGGCGAGAATTGGGAGCCGGTGGACCACGGAGCCGACCGTAGTAATGTGGCTTCTTTCTGGGATGAGAAGTTTAACCATAGTGCTCACATTCGTGGAACCGACTTGCTAGAGGGGGACCGAGGCGATTTGGAGAAGATGAGTGCTTTCACCATCGCCAAGGGCGTCGAATCACTTACCAATCGCCTCTCGGCTCTTTCGTTGATCAATGAAGACAAGATTCGCAGCTTAGTGAGGGAGACTAAGTTGCAGGGGAAAAAGATTGCTTCCTTGGAAGATAGTTTGAACAAGAGTAAAGCTGAGTGCAAGTGGGTCTCCACTGAGCGAGATAAATTACTAGAAGGTCGTCGTGTCTTTGAGGACGAGAAACAAGCCTGGGCTGCAGAGAAGGTTGCAATGGAGAAAGAGCTGGAGGATGCTCGCCTAGCGCGTGACAAACACGCTGATGCTGCTCAAGTTTTCGAGAATGACATGGTAACCTTGAAGGCAGAGGTTGAGAAATTGCAAACTGACATTCATACCATCAAAATGGAC